CCCCCCCCCCACGAGCTTCCTTGCTTTGAGGACTCCAGGCCTGGGGATCCGCCCTTTTCAGAGGTAGAGAACTCAGTTCACCCAACCTCCTCCACTCTTGATATTGCTAATAACAATAGTCATCGATATCATCATTTATTGCATTCTTGCTTCAGAACCAGGTGCTTTATCCACATTGTCTCTAATCTGATAACAGCCCCCAGGACAGGTGTTAGTTTTCCTACTTTTCAGAGGTTCAGAACGCAGGAAAGATCCCACCAGCAAGACTGCAGCCCACACTTGTTTAACTTCCAAATCTGGGCTCTTTCCTGGACACCATATTTCCCCTTGAGGAAGAGTGAGTAGTGGTAATAAGGAATAAGGGAGTGTGACCTGGATGGTGGGGTTCTCACCTGTATACCAGGGATGCAAGCACCATAGCCATCAATACCAGCAAAATGCCCATGAACAGGGGAGCCTGCCCAAGGTCTGCTTCTTGACCTGTGAGTGGAATCCCAGGCCCTGCTTCAGTGTCTGCTCCCTGCCAGATAGCCTCTGCCCACTCCCCTTCTTCATCCCTGCTCTTGTCCAAGTACCTACCAGGCATGACAAGCTGGGTGCTGACCATTGCCAGGCTGTTTGCATCAGCCAAAGACACATTGAGGCAGTAAGTCCCTGAGCCTCCCTTCAGTGCCTGGTGCAGAACCAGCTGGCAAGCTGGGCTAGGTGGCACAGGCTGACACAGCCGCTGGGTAGGGGGCTGGCACCCTGGCGATGAGATGTCCATACAGGCTTCCTCGGGCAGCCTGGGAGAGGTGTCATCTTATGTCAGGGGGTCTGGGAGGGAACACTTGACACCAGAGAGCAGGTTAACAGTCAACCCAGGAGTTCTCAGGGCCACCAGTGGGGTACTCACCCGCCTTGACAAGACACAGTCAGCTCAAATGCATCCCCTTCACTGGATGGCACAGCCTGCAGGATCTCAGCACTCTCAATACCCTCTGCAAAGTTGCAAGATTTGAAGTCTGGGATTCCTCTACCAGGACTCCCCAAAGGCTCATAGACAGGAAATCCCTAAGCTGCTTCCCCAACCCCATCCCCATGTCTTCAAATGAAAACCCTGGGATTTTGTTGTTCTTCCCCAGGTGAGTAACTTCCACTGGCAGCCTGAGGTAGCACATGCCTCCCTCCGTCAGCCCCCACAGTAGGCAAGACTCACGGACAATGTCCATTGTGAGGGAAAAGGAGCCATATCGATACAGAACACAATCCAAGGGGGCTTGTCTCTTCACCAGGATTAAGGTGGCTGTATCATCCAGCAGGGGGCTCTGGGAGCCTGGCAGGAGAAGATGGAAGGGTAAAGTCAACAGACAAATGACTCACCTGGAAACAGCAGCCAAGCAGGCATGTTCCCAGGTAGAGCCAGAGCTACTGGATCCAGGCTTGGTATTAGACAAGACCTGGGAAATCTCATTGTACAGATAAGGAAATTGAGGCCTAAAGGAGAAATTACTGCCCAGAGTTTCACAGATAGGGGTAGAGTTGGAGTTTTATTTTTTTTTTAANAGGAAGAGTGAGTAGTGGTAATAAGGAATAAGGGAGTGTGACCTGGATGGTGGGGTTCTCACCTGTATACCAGGGATGCAAGCACCATAGCCATCAATACCAGCAAAATGCCCATGAACAGGGGAGCCTGCCCAAGGTCTGCTTCTTGACCTGTGAGTGGAATCCCAGGCCCTGCTTCAGTGTCTGCTCCCTGCCAGATAGCCTCTGCCCACTCCCCTTCTTCATCCCTGCTCTTGTCCAAGTACCTACCAGGCATGACAAGCTGGGTGCTGACCATTGCCAGGCTGTTTGCATCAGCCAAAGACACATTGAGGCAGTAAGTCCCTGAGCCTCCCTTCAGTGCCTGGTGCAGAACCAGCTGGCAAGCTGGGCTAGGTGGCACAGGCTGACACAGCCGCTGGGTAGGGGGCTGGCACCCTGGCGATGAGATGTCCATACAGGCTTCCTCGGGCAGCCTGGGAGAGGTGTCATCTTATGTCAGGGGGTCTGGGAGGGAACACTTGACACCAGAGAGCAGGTTAACAGTCAACCCAGGAGTTCTCAGGGCCACCAGTGGGGTACTCACCCGCCTTGACAAGACACAGTCAGCTCAAATGCATCCCCTTCACTGGATGGCACAGCCTGCAGGATCTCAGCACTCTCAATACCCTCTGCAAAGTTGCAAGATTTGAAGTCTGGGATTCCTCTACCAGGACTCCCCAAAGGCTCATAGACAGGAAATCCCTAAGCTGCTTCCCCAACCCCATCCCCATGTCTTCAAATGAAAACCCTGGGATTTTGTTGTTCTTCCCCAGGTGAGTAACTTCCACTGGCAGCCTGAGGTAGCACATGCCTCCCTCCGTCAGCCCCCACAGTAGGCAAGACTCACGGACAATGTCCATTGTGAGGGAAAAGGAGCCATATCGATACAGAACACAATCCAAGGGGGCTTGTCTCTTCACCAGGATTAAGGTGGCTGTATCATCCAGCAGGGGGCTCTGGGAGCCTGGCAGGAGAAGATGGAAGGGTAAAGTCAACAGACAAATGACTCACCTGGAAACAGCAGCCAAGCAGGCATGTTCCCAGGTAGAGCCAGAGCTACTGGATCCAGGCTTGGTATTAGACAAGACCTGGGAAATCTCATTGTACAGATAAGGAAATTGAGGCCTAAAGGAGAAATTACTGCCCAGAGTTTCACAGATAGGGGTAGAGTTGGAGTTTTATTTTTTTTTTAATGTATTTTTTAAAATATATCTTTATTGATTTCAGAGAGAGGAAAGGAGAGGGAGAGAGAGAAATAGAAACATCAATGATGAGAGAGTCATTGATCGGCTGCCTCCTGCACACCCCCAACTAGGGATCGAGCCCGCAACCTGGGCATGTGCCCTGACCGAGAATCAAACCCCCATCGCCTGGATCGTAGGTTGACGCTCAACCACTGAGCCACGCCTGGCCGGGCTAGAGTTGGAGTTTTAAAGTATCATAAATGTTTATCATGCCCTACACTGTACCAGGTCCTGGGCTGGACACTCAATGTATGTTAACTCATCAAAGTGTCACTATCTCATTCTTCCATTTTATGAAAGCGTTCCTACCATAATTCCAGACTGATCTGCTTTGGGAGGAAAATCCAGGGGTGGGAAATGGTGTAAGAATCTGGAAAAGATTTCTATGCATTTATGCTTGAACAGAAAATGAGATATAACTATTATGTAAATGACCACAGTCTGTTCCCTGGCTTGCCCCTCAGGGAACAGCTCTACTCTCCTCAGGGATAGAGAAGCAACAAACTCCCTCCCCAGGTCCCAGGGAAAGGCCCTGACTTCCTGACCTCCACATCTATTCCATGGCATTAAGAGAGACTTGAGGGCTTTAAAACCAGTGAGCCTCTGAGGGGACTCCATTATTAGCAAAGGATTGGGTAACATCTGGGTCCTGGGTAAGTCTTTCAGGCCTTTAATAACAAATGCCCCACTCAACAAGCCTCATTCACACTGGTCCTCTTACCTGTCATACCTTCTGTAGGCATGAACGGGCTGGCATCTGGACCCTCAGGCCCAGGTGTGGGTTCCTCTCCTGCTGTGGTCTCCACCAACTCTGTAGTTGTTACCTGAACAACTGTGGTTTCAGAGGGCTCTGCAGTTGACACTTCAGGGGTCGAACCTATAGTCTCTGTAGTTGGCATCTCTGCAAGTGTGGTAACTATGCCCTCTGCAGTTGGCACTTGCACAGGTGTAGTACCTATGACCTCTGTGGTTGGCACCTGCACAGCTGTGGTTCCAGAGGACTCTGCAGTTTGAACCTGACTGGGTGTAGTACCTACAACTTCTGCTGTAGGCACTAGCCCAGCTGTGGTGCCAGGGGCCTCTTCAGTTGGCACAAGCCCATCTGTGGTGCCTGGAACTGGAGAGGAGCCACAGGAGGTGAGAGGAATGGCAGCCTGAAGCACCACCCGGGGAGTGACTGTACCAGACTCTAGGTAAGTGTGAGTGACTACAAGTGCCCGAGAGATCAAGGTCCCAGTACTGTCTCCAAAGTCCCAGGTGTAGGAAAGGTCAGCCCCAGACAAATAGCCACTGGGGTCATGGAGCTGGAGTGCAAAGATGAGAGGTTGGTTTCTCAGGAAGTGCTTGTTCTCTCCATCCAAGGCCTGCAGCTGGGATACGCTCACAGAGAAGGGCACCTGGTCTGGGATTGAAACCAGAAAAGGTAAGAACCACACTTGGGCCGCAGCTTCTCCTTTCACAGCCACACCCTCCAACTCCAAGCTGATTGTCCCTTCACTGGCTCCAAGCCCCATATTTCTTTACCCAGGTTTTCCTGGTTCTGTCCCTTTAAGATTACACACCATTTCCCCTTTCCCCTTCCAGTCCAGCCAAGCCTCTCTACCTTCTTTTCTTCCCATAGGGTTGGCCTTTCCCTTCCTAAATCCTTACCAGTAATGGTGAAGGCTAAGCTGGAGTGACCGATGGGCATGTAGCTCTCAGACCCCTGGCGACGGTAGACAGTTACTTCCATGGTGTGTGTGCCCAGTACTGCTGTGCCTGTTCCAATGCTCAGCCCAGACACCGGGCCCCCTAGAACTTGCCAGTATTGGCCTGAGGGTTTTGGAAAGAAAAGCAGGAAGGGGTGGGGGTTACTGGTCAAAGAAGACTGATTAGAGATGGTACCAGGGAAGGAAGGTCAGATGTATTTAGGATGGTAATTTTAGATGGTATTTGGAAGGTTGTGATATGGGGACCAGGAAAGGCACCCTAATGAGTGGTTCCATGGAATGGGACTATAATTGGGGAAGGGTTCCCAGAAAGAACTATAACAGAGTTGGAGGGGGCTAGGTGCTATGGAAGAGGAAGGAGCCATGGGGAAAATAATTAAGGAACTCATGGAGCTTAAAGGGTGGGACCAAAAGGAAAGAGAATCAGGTAGAAAGAGGTGAATCCAACTGTGGATGACAGGCCAGAGCAGGGAGTCCCTCACCCCAGGTCTTCCAGACATAAACAAATCTTCTCCTCTGAGACCAAGGGCCAGATGGGCAGGCCTCCCCATCAGGGAAGATGCAGGTATCATCAGGTTCCTGGGGATACACGGGCTGTCCTCCCCACACCTGGCTCCCTGAAAGGTAGATAGAGAGTCACCTTCAAACCCTGGCACTCCTTTCTGTACACCAAAACCCCTAACATGGCTCTCAGAGAGGTGCTGCAGGAACACTCCCCAGCTGCAAAGTATATTCCCCTTAGTATAAGCCATTTGGGGTGGTAGTGGGAAGAATGGAAACTACAGTTAAAGATTCATATGTATATACTTATATAGAAAAGAGACTGGAAGGCCATATGTCAAGATGTTTAGAGAGATTTGCTCTAGCGAGCAGGATAAAAGTAAAAATAACAGCACCAGCTAACATTTACTGAGCCTTTACTATAGGCCAGGCTTTGTGCTAAATTCTTTACATATTATCACATTTTAGTCCTTACAGCAACCTTTCATGGGAGCTATCATTCCAATTCTATGGATAAGCGTATGGAAACACAAAACAAGTAATTTGCCCAGGGTCACATACTAGAAACAAGTTTAAATCTAAGTCCATCCAACTTCTAGGTCCAATGGGTCTTCTGTCCCCCATTTGGGGGACTATAATCTTTTTTCATTTTATTTTTGTTTTCAAATTTTTCTACAATGAATATGCATTACATATATAATTTGTTTTTTAAAAAAGTAGAGGGGGGAGGGGGCATTCCTTGAGCTCATTGGGGATACCAGGGAATCTGAGCCCTAGGAATGAGGGCCTGGAATAGAGAGGTACTCACCGTTGACAGTGGTGTCATTGGCCCAGATGACCTGCCCATCTGGCAGCACCTTTTGGCTTTCAGGGAAGTGCAGGGTAATAGAGAAGGAGACATTTGCCCCAACCAGGGTAGGCCCATCATTCCTGACCTTCAAGGACACTGGGCCACCTGGAAAGGGGAGTTGCATTAGCTGGGACTCCTTGGCTTCCCTTCCCCATATACCTTTCCCCCTCTTCTCTTTCCAAACTACATTCAACCCAGTTCCTACTCCTCTCCCCACCCCATTCCCACCATGCTCTCCCCAGAATTTGCCAAGTTCCCACCTCTCCAGCAGTCAGGCCCCTGGTTTTCTGTCCACTCAGGATAGAGCTGCCTGTTCCAGGCTTTAGTTCTGAACTGCCTCGGGACACCAAGCCAGTCCTGGTCTACGGATCCTAAAAGGAAAGTACCATGAGGGCCCTAGTACCACTCAGTCCCTTCTCAGGGGATAATACTGTCCCATGTCACCCCACTGATTCTCACATTCAAAGTGCATTTTAATTTACTGAATACCCACTATGTCCCAGGCACTATGCTAGGTACAAAGGTCTTAAGAAATGAATAAGACATGGCTCTGAAGGGATTCAAGGTAAAGTATAGGAAATAGACATATACATAAATTACTATAATTCAAGGCACTTTTTAATATGAGCCATAACAGACATGCATGAAATGTAACAAAATGATAGACTAAACAGATTACTGTAGTTCCCCTCTGGCAGATTAGGAAAGACTTCAATGAGGAGCTGGCCTGTGGGATAAAGCATTCTAGGCAGAAGGCCCAGCATAAGCAGATGCATGTATGGAGTCATGGAAGCACATGGCATGATAGGAAACTACCAGCAATGTGGTTGATGCACACTGGGAAAGATAAGGCCAAAAGCAGGTTCGGGAGCTTTGAGTGCCAAGTGAAGGAATTTGGCCTTTACCCTATAGGCAAGGCCACCTCAGAAGATTTTGTTTGTTTTGTTGAGTTATAATTCACATACATAAAATTCACCCTTCAGAATCTTTTTTAATATGATCAGATTTGTGTTTTAGAAGGATAACTAGAAAACAGTGAGGAAGATGGATCAGAGGTAGGCAGAGGTTGGGGTTGAGGACAGAGCAGACAAAATTATTGCAACTGACTGAGAGTGGTCTGAGAAAAAGGGATATGATGGATCTCTATATGCCTCATCCAGATCCAATAACTATCACATTTGCCACATTTGCTTTTACTATACTTTGTTATTGTTGTTTGTTTTTGTTGTTGTTTTATTATTTTTTATTTTTATTGAATTTATTGGTTAATAAAATTATATAGGTTTCAGGTGTACAATTCTATAACACATCATCTGTATATTGTATTGTGTGTATTCCATCCCAAGTCAAGTCTCCTATTTGTTTGTTTGTTTGTTTGTTTTTAGCTAAAGTCTCTAAAAGCTAATCCCAGACATCTTTATTTTAACCATACAAATTCAGTATGTATCTGTTTAAAAAATGAATATTTTATTGAATAAGCATTATTTCACACTAGACACAACTATCAAATCCAGTCCATATAAAATTTCATTAATATCTAAAAATGACTTCTTATGATATAAAAAAAAATCCGGTTCCAAAAAGTAAGCAGTCTTTTAAGAGTCTCAGGTAGACAAGAATGAACAGAATGTTTCCAGACTATATTAAAGAACACAGTAAAAGAAAAAGACTTAAAACAGCAGCATGAATGGGGAAAGTCAGATCAAGAAGAATTTTCTCAGTCTGTGAGAAAGAGGCCCTAGCCAGTTTGACTCAGTGGTTAGAGTGTTGGCCTGCAGACTGAAGGGTCCTGGGTTCGATTCTAGCCAAGGGAACATATCTCAGTTGCAGGCTCAATCCCCGGCCCCAGTCAGGGTGCGTGCAGGAGGCAACCAATTGATGTTTCTCTCCCTTGATGTTTCTCTCCCCCACTCTCTCTGAAAAGCAATGGAAAAAATATCCTCAGATGAGGATTAAAAAAAAAAGTCTGTGAGAAAGAGGAAACGTATGTATTTCAGCACAGCAGAAACTATGCTCACTCCATTTCTAATTTGTACTGGAAAATTAGTCGATTCTGGTGGGGGAGGATCTGGAATCTTCATTGAGCATCCCACCATTAGAACAAGAGAATCATGCCTGGCCGGGCGTGGCTCAGCCGTTGAGCGTCGACCTGGGATCCAGGCAATCGGGGTTTGATTCCCGGTCAGGGCACATGCCCCGGTTGTGGGCTCAATCAATGATTCCCTCATCATTGATGTTTCTATCTCTCTCTCTCCCTCGCCTTTCCTCTCTCTGAAATCAATAAAGATATATTTTTAAAAAACCAAGAGAATCATAAGATGCCCTATTCTTTCTCCACTCCCAACCCTCCCTCCTCAGAGCCCCATAGGACATTCCAGATCCTCTCACCACTCCTCACCCCCACCCCTTGCTCCTGTCACGAGGCTCCAATCCCCCAGAGCCCTTTCATGTGATGCTCAGCTGAGACCCCTCTGCCTCTCTTTTCCATCCCCAGGACAAAAGCCTGGGCTGTGTTCACCCATCCCCACCCTTAAGAGGTTTGGTGGTGCCTCCTTACCCTTTTTATCCAATGCCACATTCTCTTATTCCTCACCTTAAATACCCTATCACAAGTGCCTGAGACATCGCCTAAAAGAACCTCTCACTCATTTCACCCCCTTGGAGCCCCTGCTCCAGCTCGCTGCCCAGGGTTCCCCAGAATTATGGCCAGGAAGATCCACCATCCTCTCGCCCTTCCAAGAAGATGGGATTATTTTCAGTTTCAGTCCCAAATCTCCATGTGGGGAGGGAGTTCAGGTTCCCATGTCCTCACTAAATCAAATGGGTGCCAGAAGCCTGAAGTGTTGCTGGTACCTCCCATTAGGAGGGAAAAAACCAGAGCAGGTGTGCAAACCCAAATTCACACTTCTTCATATCCACACGCCCCACACTCACCTTCTGTGGCTCCCAGAGCCAGAAGAGCACCCATTACAGCCACATGGAGAAGGCATTTTAAGGGATCCATCCTGTCTTCCTTCCAGCAACCAAAGGCTCTTGGGGGCTGGGACAAGCCCCTATATAAGAGAGGGGTGCTCATTTGCATAGCCCTTCCTCCTCTCCCTTCAGGGAAGGTCTGGGAGGGGCAGGAGGACTGGAGAAAGGCAGAACTGTCAAGGGATCCTGGTCCCTGGACATGGGTCATTGTCACCTTGACTGAGAAATAATTGACTGAAGGGCAGCTACATAACACCTACCCGACATACGCAATTCATCATGGGAGAGGAATCAATTTGTTGTTTGATTCAAACCAGGACCTCTCAAAAAGACACAAACAGAGACCCTATATCCAAAAACAGAGAGAGAGACAGTGTCAGGGTAGGCTGAGAGGCTGACGCTAAAACTCTTTGGACGCCCAGGAAACCCTTACAATGAGATTCCCAGCGTCCTGCTTTTCAAAGGAGGCCCCCCCCCCCCGGGGCCAGGTGGAGTTTAATCTTAGATCGATATACATTTTCCCTAAGGGTTGTGAAAACAGTGAGATCAGGACATTCCTACAGACTCAGGACACAGGGAGGAAATTTGAGCCTAAATCATGTACTTAGAAAAAGGTGTTCGGCCTCCCCAGAGGCAGAAACTCGTCTTAACGCTTCCTCAGAAACAAACTAGCGCGGGGCTGGGTCGTTGGCGGCCAGGGGCGCCGGGTTCGCCTCTCCCGCTCTGACGTTGGCCAATAGGAAGGGCTGGGGGCGGAGTCAGAGAAACGCGGGAAGGAGAGGCGGGGCCTCTGCCGGTGGCAGGGAATTGGGGGGAGGCGGCAACATTGTTTCAAGTTGGACAAATTGACAAGAGCGAGAGATAACACTGCGTTCCATCCGGACCTGGGGCCGCGGTGCTGGGCCCTGCTTCCGCCTCCTCCGCCCCGGGAACCGGGGCCGGCTTTCTGCAGGGTTCCCAGGTCCCCGCTCCAGGGCCGGGCTGACCCGACTCGTTAGCGCTTCATGGAGAACTTCCAAAAAGTGGAAAAGATCGGAGAGGGCACGTACGGAGTTGTGTACAAAGCCAAAAACAAGCTGACGGGAGAAGTGGTGGCGCTTAAAAAAATCCGCCTGGACACGTGAGTGGCCTCTGTACCGGGACTTCTACCTTGGGAACAACTTGAGTGCCCCCAACCCCCACCCCAACAGGCGGGTAGCCGTCTAGGAACCGGAAAGTAGCAGGGAGGGACTTCTTCTGAAGTGGAAGAGTGGGTTGGAGGACTGTAGAGGGTTTCCCTTTAGAGATTACAGGGTAGTTCCGAATCCGTGGGAAACTTGCTCCCCAAAACCGGTGATGCCCCCAAATGTGCAGTCAGGAAGACGAAGGAGGCCTCTGAGTTGGGTTCCAGTACTCCCCGTGGAGTTGGGTTTTGTGGGAACCGGTGAAGAGCACCTTTCTGAATAAAGAGCTCTCCTCACTGCCCCAGCCCCACCCTCATCTTAGAATTCTCTCCCTCTTTCAAAAGAATGGCAGTTGAACCTCACTGGCCCCTCTTAGGGAGGGTGGGTGCTGCTCCCCCCCCCCTTTTTTCTGTTACCTTCTCTCCCCCTTCACTAGGAGGCTTTCCTTACCTACCTTTGGGAAAAAAAGAAATAATGACCTTAATATATTCAAAAGCCACTCTCTGTCCACCCGTCAATGAACTCATACAAGCACACTTTCCCTGCTCTCACTTTCCTAAGGGATGCTGGGGTGGTGTCTCCTTGGGGAATAAAGAATAACTGGGCTGGGGGGGAAAGGAATATTTTTAACCACATTCCCATCTCTGTTTCCCAATCTCTCCAAGTGAGACAGAGGGTGTACCCAGTACTGCCATTCGAGAGATCTCTTTGCTTAAGGAACTTAACCACCCTAATATTGTCAAGTAAGTATGTATCTGGGAGGTGCTTGACAGTCTGGAGAATGCCTTCTGTCTGTGTAATCTGGCCGTTTCTCTCCCTCACCTCCATTCCTGGACGTCCCTTCCGTAGGCTGCTGGATGTCATCCACACAGAAAACAAACTCTACCTGGTTTTCGAGTTTCTGCACCAAGATCTCAAAAAATTCATGGATGCCTCTGCCCTTACTGGCATTCCTCTTCCCCTCATCAAGGTAATCCTTCTCATCAACTCCTCCCTAACATGGTCCTGTCTTGTGGGGACTGAAGGCAAGCAAATCGGACTGAGTGATGATTTGTGATTTTGGTTTCCTTTCCAGCCCTAATCTCCCCCACACGCCCCACACCCCTTTTTTTGTGGCTCTTTTGCTGCTCATTATGCTTATTAACCCTAGGGCTGGGCTGGAGAATCAAAGTTGAAACTCTAGTGAGTCAACATAACAGCTCAGGTAGAAGGTCAGATGAAACAGATAAATGGGACTTCAGGGCACTTGGTACATTCCTCCAAAAAAGCCCTTTTACCTGTTTGGTGGGAGAAATAGCCAGTGAGTCTCTATTATATTCTGTTTTAGGGCTGGGTCGTTTACTCCCCATGCTACTTTCAATCTATCAACAAATGTTTATAAAACACATTTATTGAACACCTTCAATGTGCTAGGCACAGGATATGGAAAAGAGATGCAAAATTGAGTAAGACCTGGACCCTATCCTCACTGGGCTGACAGTCCGATGGGAAAAATAGCTTATAAACATGTAATTATAATCTAACATAGTAAAGGCTTTAGTAGAGTTTTGAAGGCGATAAACACAGTCCTGTCTCTCTCCATTATCAGAGCTATCTGTTCCAGCTGCTCCAGGGCCTAGCTTTCTGCCATTCTCATCGGGTCCTGCACCGAGACCTCAAACCCCAGAATTTGCTTATCAACGCAGAGGGGGCCATCAAGCTAGCCGACTTTGGACTAGCCAGAGCCTTTGGAGTCCCTGTTCGTACTTATACCCATGAGGTCAGTCCCTCTCTGCATTTCTTCTCTGAACTTCCTGGGAGGTGTTAACAAGGACATTCACAAAGTTACTAAAAATATTTGGACAGCAGTTTCTCTCTCACTGGAGGGAGAGTATTTCTGACATTTCAAGAGTTCTTAGAGTATGCACAGAGTTCATACTGCAGAGCTAACTGGGCTTTAATAGATACCAAGCCAGGAGAGCTGGATGGCACACCGTTAACATTATGACTACTTGTTTCAAGTTTTTCATAAAGGTCACAAATTGGGGGTTCAGAAAATATGGTCACAGAGTCATGGGCTAGGGTCATTCTGGGCTAAGAAGTTGTATGTAATCATTTTGCTTAGGGGAAATCAGAGGGAAGGGAAGGACAGAGGGAAAGAAGCTGCTTGTTAAGAGGCGGAGAGCAAACAGAGTAATGTTGGGAAGTTGAGATGGAATCTCCATGCCCCATATACCACCCATCCCCTTCCTACTTTTGTCCCCAGGTGGTGACCCTGTGGTACCGAGCACCTGAAATCCTTCTGGGCTGCAAATACTACTCCACAGCTGTGGACATCTGGAGCCTGGGCTGCATCTTTGCTGAGATGGTACAGAGACATGCCTGAGTTCCACCCAGCCCACTGTTCCCCACATTGAAGAACATCAGAACTGTTTCTTGGCCCACACCCATGGCCTTTCTATTATCACAGGGTTCTTTCTCTAGAGTAGTACCTACAGGGGTGGTGGGAAAAGGATAGGACTGTTGTCCCTAATGTCAACCACAATGGTAGGATATCCTGAAATAGCCTTAGCATCCTTTTACAACTCTTATCCCAAAATTGAGCTAAATAATTTCTGTAGCTGCTTTAACATTAGTTTGCATATATTTGGTAGAATGAGTTCCAGTTAGTGCTTTCATTTGGCCTGGAGACCTTATTGTAGAGTGTGAGGAATGCAGTTAAACCACCTATGTTCAGTTTATCCGCATCTTTTACTTAAACCGCAGACTTGGATCATGTCCCCACCCAACCTCTGGCTTTTCAGACTGAAGGATCCCTGAGGCCCAGCCTTAATATGTGAACTCTCGTCCCCTTTAATACAACAATGGAGTGGGCTGAGTTTTTAAATCAAATCAGCAATATCTTTTATGGTCCTCTATCAGAGTTGTAACCAGGGGCTTGGAGACCATTAGCCTATATATATAATGTGCATTTATCCCCCAGTTCATTACCTTACAATTGCCCATATTGCTCTCTCAATTCATCAAAAAATATTTGTTAAGCACCTAGTGTGTACCCAGCACCATGCTAAGTGCTGTGGGGAACACAGAAGAAATGGAAGACACAGTCTCTGCCCGCTGTGCTCCTATCTAGAAGTGGCTGCATCACAAGGAGGGGGGATGACCGCAGTGTCTACCCCACATCCCGTGAGTGGCTTGGGATCCCTTTGCTACATGTCAGTGGCACCCCAGACATTCACTCCCTCCCAGACCCACCCAGCCTTGGGGATCTGCAAAGCCATGGTTGGGGGAAGGAAGGAGGGGGCGAGGAGACAGATAAAGGGACTTCATTGTCTCAGGCTGTGTGTGACTGACCCCATGAAAGGCCCTGGGGAGGGAGTCATGGGGCCCTACTGACCTTCCACCGCCTGTGGGAACCTCCATTGTACAAGGGGCAGTTTTGACTGACGTCAATGCGGGTCTTGGCCTTTCCTCTTTCCTCATTTTCAGGTGACTCGCCGGGCCCTTTTTCCTGGAGATTCTGAGATTGACCAACTCTTCCGGATCTTTCGGACTCTGGGGACCCCGGATGAGGTGGTTTGGCCAGGAGTTACTTCTATGCCTGATTATAAGCCAAGTTTCCCCAAGTGGGCCAGGCAAGATTTTAGCAAAGTTGTGCCTCCCCTGGATGAAGATGGACGGAGCTTGTTATCGGTGAGAGTGGGAGGTGGACTCCCTTTCCTCTCATTGACTACCCTAGGGCAGGGTTTTTCCTGGGTAAAGGAAGGATAAGACCCTGGACTCTGGGTCTCAGTGTTTTCCTAGCTCCTGCTTCTGTCTCCCTGTTGGCATATCAACTGAACAGACAGATGTAGGGAGGAAGGAAATGGGAACTCTGCCTTGGGTAAAATGGATTCTAATTTCCCAATTTTTTGGAATACTTGCTGCCCATTTATTCCAATATCACATCACTGAAGTCAATATACATCTCTCCCTCCAGCAAATGCTGCACTACGACCCCAACAAACGGATTTCGGCAAAGGCAGCTCTGACTCACCCTTTCTTCCAGGATGTGACCAAACCAGTACCCCACCTTCGACTCTGATGTCCTTCTCCAAGCCCCCAGTCTCACCCTCTCCTCCAGTGGGGGCCTGATCTGGCTTGGCCCTGGGCTATGGGTGGCCCTCTGTCTTGTCTGGCTGCCTTAACATTCACTCACCTTCCTCTCTTAGCCAGACAACTCTGGGGATACAGGGGGTTGGAGGGGAAAAGTGGGTAAAATAAAAGGAAGTTTCAGTATTAGATGCACTTAAGTCAGCCTCTACCACCCCTCCTCTTAGTCATTGCTAAGGAGGGCTGGTATTAAAAAAAAAAAAATACTGACTCCTTCCTCTCCCCCTACATAGGATTTGCCATCCGAATCTCTGAAAGCCCCACAATTATTATTTTCTGTGTTTGGGATGGCAGGCTCCAAAACTGCCGCCGCTGTGTTTGTTAGACCAACTATAACGGGGGTAAATTGGAATTTTGAAAACCAAGCACAACAAAAACATAGGGAGGGGACTGTTTTGAAGAATTAGGTTAAAAAATAGATCCAACCAGTTTATACCCTAGTTTTAGTGTTTGATCTCACCTAACAGTCTGAGAGTCCCAAGACTCCCAGCCTCTGCAGTCCTGTTGGGGCAGCAGTAGAAATGATTGCACCCAGTGCCCTTGTCAGTCCCTCCTATAGGCAAGGGGTATCTGGGAGGCTCTGGGACAGGAACTGTGCTTCACCGCAGCCTTATAAGGCAAGTGAAAGATTATTTGGATTTTTCTCTTTTAAGATTCTTAGTTCTTCAGGTGCCAGGGCACATCTTCCTCTGAAGGCCACCCCCATAGGAGTGGAAGTAAAGTTAAACATCATTTTGAGAATGCTGACACTTTTTCAGGGCTGTGATTGAGTGGGAGCGTGGAGGGGGAAATATTTCTTTAAAAGAAGGATGAACAATTATATTTATATTTCAGGTTATAGTAGTTTTTTAGTGGGAGTGGGTGGATTTGTTGCCATTCGCACCTTGGGGTTTTGTAATGCAAATGTTTAAAAAAAGAGTATTGTTTTTCTTTTTATGATTCTCTTTTCTCTTACCTTGTCCTTGAGTGTTCCTGCTATTAATGTTATTTGTAATTTAGTTTGTAATTCATTAAAAAAGTGTTCCTAGTTTTATAGTGTATCTTTCCTCCTTTACTTTTGCATACTTATTTAATGAAAGAATGGTGAGAAAATATGAATGTGTATACATAATAATTGGTTTCAGACCCCCACTTTTCCTAATCTCTCTGTGCAGGGCCATCCACCCCACCCCATTTTGACTTCTGTGACAAAATTGGAATAGTGCAGAGGGTGGGCAAAGTGGGAATTATTGCCCTATTTTACAGCTGGAGAAACTGAAGCCTTCATATTTCCTACTTTCCCCACAAACCCGCATCTCCCCCTTCCCATCCCCCTCCCCTCACACACATGTATACCACAGACACACACACTCGAGGTGGCAGTTCCGGAATTTCAGTGTTAGGAAGGGCTTGGGAGCAGCAATATGATTGGAAGTGAGCTCCATGGAATTCACCTCGACACTGCATTCCTCAGTACGCTCGTCATTTTTCCTTTTTCTTGCATATCACAAACAGCAAAATTTTCTAAAGATACTTTATTCACCTTTATAATACGGTTCATAATATTGTCAATTGTCTGGATGAAAAATTATGAAGGGGCTAAAGCCTCCCCGGGCTATCGTTTCTTCGAGTTGCCATTGTCTCAGCCCACCAAAAAACATCTGAGGCCTCCCACCCCAAAATCTCCTGTACTCTGCGGCCCCACTAAAAGGATGAAGCACCGACTTCAGGGCTACTTAAATTCCCAGGCTCCGGGTCCCTAAGAGAGGTATTTCCCTTTACGCCCGCGAATTGGTCAAAGAGTGAGGGGAGCTAGTCAGCCCCTGCCAAATCCGGGGGGAGGGGCGAAGGTCAGTAGCGGCCTTCCTAAAGCTTCCTTCAACCCCGCCTTGCCTGCCATTCAAGTTCCGAATTTTCGCAGTACTGGTTAAAGTTTCACTTTGACCCGCCTCCGTCACTCACCTGATTAGATGTTTATGAGTCAAAAGGCGGGGTCATTAGGGTGTCAAGAGCTTATTGGCTGGCATATACGCCTGTCAACAGTGTACCGCCCCCTGTCTCGGGGAGCTCCCTCGTCAATGGCTCCTCGCCTCGTCCATATTCAAGATTTCCCTCTTCATATTGGCCTGGGGATACGCCGGTCCGGTCCCTGGTTCGTCCTCGTTGGTGACGGCACCGAAAAAGGCCCGCCTTTCTCCAGAGGATTGGCGGAGCAGCGCACACAGAGCCCACCCTTGATGGTAGGCGTAATCGCGCTATTGGCCGGGGCCCCCGCCCCAGGGCGAGGAGGAGGAGGAGGGGCAAGAGGGTTTGGTTGAGCTGCGGCTGTTTGTCTGTTCGACACAGGCTTGGGTCCGACGGGGGAGACGGAGCCCCAGGTACCGGGCTGATGGAGCCCAGTAGGGTAGGGGCGGAAGCGCCCGGGAGAGGAGAGCAGCCTGGCCTGAGCTCAGAGGCGGGTCTGGGCCTCAGCGATGGGGTTAGAGTGGCCCACTGGAGAGGGGAGAAGGGGGCCGGGCCCCGGCAAGCCTAATGGGGGCGCTGAGGAGGGGGCCCGGCGGGCTGGGAGCCCGAAGTTGGTGAAGCTGGGTTCCGCCGGAGGCCGGGCTGGGGGCGGGCGCGTGAGGCCCAGGTCTTGTGTGAGGGCAGGGGCAGGCCTCTTTAGCAGCGCTGAGAGGGAGGAGCTGGGGAAAGGGCCGGGGCTGCGAGTGAGGTAAGCCCATCTGCGGGAGGTGAGGAGGGGTCAGCCCCAACGCCCGGGCCCCGAGGGTAACCGGGGCTGGCGCTCTCGAGATGTCTAATTGGAGGGGCCCGAGAAGGGTTCGTAGTTGGGTAAAGGCATTCTTTTTCAGTGAAAGTGACTGTTATAAAAATAACTAGGGTTCCCCAGGGTTGAGCCGAGAAAAGGATTTGGGTTCAGTGAGGCAAATGAAGAAAGCTTTCCTAATCTAGAAGGCTAAGGTAGTTGGGGAAATTAAGCAGGGACTGGTATCGGTTCTGGGAGCGCCTGGGAATGCTCCAGGGTGGGCTGGAGGCTCTGGGGCTTGGGAGGACACACTCTTTTGTTCCCATTAAGTGTTGAGATGTGGTAACTTGAAGTTTTTGGTACTCTCAGGGTAGCCAATGAAAACAAACGTGTTTTTTCCCCCCCTGTGACTGTTGGCTGTTCCAAACTCAGACCCTACACTCCTTTGGCCTCAGCTGAAGGATGCAGTCTCTGTTTCTTCTTACCAGCCTTAGCTGGTTTAGGGTGCACTCCTGTGCAAGAGCTAAGAAGTTGGATTTGGGGGATATTTGTTTTCCCACTTAATAATTTGGTCTGTAGTAGATACCATATCTCTGACTTGGAAATGGGGAATCAGCAATCTCATCTGCCCTGGAAAGGGGCTTTGGGATAAAAGCCCAGCCACCAAGAGACCTTCCAACCATAGTGAAACTTTGTAGGACTTAGACTTGGATATTTCCTAGGCAGGTAATGATTAGGTGGAACCAAGCCTGGAAATCTGAAGTGATATCACTGAGTAAGGGATTTAGGGGAGAGAATTCCATTCCACAAGGTTGGCATAACCCCTATTTTTGTTTACTTCTTCAGGAGCCCAGGTTTCTGTGCTGTTAGAAATAGCAACAGTAAGGCACTTGGGGAAAGTGGTGAGTAGAGAAAAGGAAGATGGATTACTAAGGCGCAGGAGTCCCCTCCTCCCATATATTTTTAATGGTCTTCTGATCTCCTTAGTCTCCCATAGATTGGAGCTTATTGAATTTTCCCTTATTATGCTTCCTCCTTTTTCCCTTTTATACCAATGTACTGTATAACTCCATTTCATCTTAAAGTCAAAAGTAATATGTACATATTTTTAAATATTCAAGCTGTACAGAAGTGTAAAAAGTGTAAATCCTCCCACACATACCTCACTCATTATATTTCATCCAGAAAGGTCAGAGATAAGAGACAGCAGATCAGACCAATCTTGCTTTGCTTTGGAGGATGTGCCACCAAAGACAATTCTGTTTTCATGTTCCCACCAAACTCTGGTCTCTCATTCTTTTCAGTTTCCCTTCTCAGATGATACTCTGTTATTTATCGTGCTCCTTTCACAGTTCTTTTTGTCTTGCTTCTATCAAATTCAGACAAGCAAAGAGCTGTACTCTGGGTTATCCCTCACCTTCTTAACACGCACTCCCGTTGTGTATTGGGTATCCTAGAAAATGCCCAAATAGATGGACAAAACTTTTTTCTCTTTTATGAGCAGGAAAGAAACATTAAACTGAATCATTTTGTTTGGGAGAACTATTAGCATCTCTGCTAACATGAGAAATTTGTGACCTCTATCTTCTGGTCATGGTCTCAGGGTGTGTGGACCATATGACTGTCCATTATCCCAAAAGAAGATGATGGTTCTCCGAAGGGTCCCTTGTATCTGTCTTTCTGAGAGAAGTTCCCAAGTTTCTCTAGATATGAAATTGGTTGTCCTTTAAACCTCAGTGCAACTGGGACATTTCATACTACCTCCTTATTGAATTTGTCCTTACTGGCTGTAGAAGCCCTCTAATGTGCCCAGTCTTTGTACAGAAACCTCGATTGTTGCCCCTCCCAGGAGCTTTTATTTTCTCTCCTGTAAAGCCAGTCCTAGAGAAAATTTTAGGAGTGTGTGTGTGCGTGTGTTTTAATCCTCTCTAGACTTTGCCATTTTTTACATCCTGGTGATATCCTGGCCCTTTTGTTACATTTTTTTGTCTTTCCTATCTTCCCCTTAATGAAAGCCTACCTTTAAGACATGATCTGGAATTGCTTCATATTAAGGTATAAGTAACAAATAGTCACTTAAAGTTTTAATTTTTCCAAGGGTTTTTGTTTCGTAAGAAGGAGCTAAGGAGTGGAATTATCAATATAGAATGTCAAACATAAACCTTGAGTTACAAAAGTTTACGTGGAGAAGAGGGCTTTCCCATTGCCCTTGAAGTCATACTTTATATCTCAATAACTCTTACTTTGCCCAGGAGCAAGGTTTGCTCTTTCTATAGTTTGTTTCTGTGCATGGATAAGGATTTGACTTCTGAGGAGGCAGAGGTTGGAGAAGCAAGTGTATAGCTCCTATTCCTAAGGCATTTCAGATTGGAAAGTAACTAAAGTGTAAGACAGTGGATTTAAAATAAGGAAATGCAACAGCCTTCTAGGAGGAAGGATACCTTAAAACCCTACACAATACACTCCCACTTCCCAAGAGTGTTTTAGAGAAGATTTAGTCACTGACTGAATAGTAACTAAGCTGAGTAAGAAGCCACCCAGGTGATCAAAGTCTGCAGATTTCTGGGTCAGGTTGTAGCTTCTGTTTAGGGACTGTGGATGCTTTTCAGAGTGTCCTCAAGCTCTGTGATGGTATGGTTATTATATTTAATTTGTGTTTCTCAGGTTCAGGAATTCATATAATGACCTAAAGTTTTTTGAACATTAATGTCAACTGGAAATTCAGGGAACTTTTGTATTTAGCCACAGTTGCTTCAGTGTTAGGGTGGGAGGACCACATATTGGGTGTGATTAGGCCATTTGAGGCATAGTAACGGGTGACAGGAAAAGCAGTTAGCCCATATGAGTTGCAACAGTACCTTGTGGGCTGGGTCCTAGGGGGGCCCTCCATCCAAGGGAGATCACAAAGAGGCCAGGGAGAGAATTGCTTCTCTGAAGCTGATTAAAAACATTTCCAAATGGTACTAAGTAAGAAGCTATCCAGATGGCACAGAAGGGGAGGAGTTAATGGAAGAGGGAAGCAGGATTGCTTTGGTCTTAATTTAGGGAGCATTTAATGAACACCTACTAGGAATCAGGTATTGTGTTCTGCTCTGGAGAGTCAAGATGACATAAAAAATGGTCACACTTTTTGAGAAGTTCAAAGTTTAAACTCATATGATGTAATAAGTGCTGTGATAGTAATACAGTCTTAATACTATGGGACCCCAGCAGAAGCAATGATGAATACTGCTGGAGTGAGAGGGTAATTATGCAATTTCATAGAGAGGTAACATTTGAGCTTGGACTTAAAAGATACATTAAGAGTTTGCTA